CACATTTTACTCTTTATATCCATATTTGTATATGCATAGCCTTATAAATAATGAGCCCCAATATCAAATTTCAAGAAACTATACAAAAGGAGCTCAAAACAAAATTTTACTAGGTTGACTATTACTTGGGGTAAAATTTATTGAAGCCTTACTAAACAATTGAAAATATTTTGTTTACAAGACATTTACCACAAACATTTTTGTTATACTTGGATTTGCCCTGTAGATATATTAATAACTTCTGTTCTCCAAAGGCTTTGAGCAGAATGTTCCCTATGTATAGTAAAGACTGCACTATATCTACTATTTGTTGTTGTCAACATGTGGTTCACCATGAAACCAAGACTATCTCAACAGGCCTTAAATGTGTCCTTGCAGGACACATCAAGGCTAGATCAGTGTCAAACTTATAAAGTCAAATTCCTGCTCTACGCCCACTGCTGGGCAGCACACTTAGCCAAAACTGAATTTATAGTCATACCCCAGACTCATTCTTCCTCCTGAGCTCTCTACATCAGTGAATTGTACCGGCCCTCATTCCATTATTCTCAGAACTACCACCTCCACCCTCAACTCCTCTCAGATAGATTCATAAAGAATAGACAGAAAGAACCAAAGGGTGATGAGCTATCAGCCTTGTTAGTAGTTACACAGTAACTCATACATTACATGGCTTCCTAGTATGGAAAAGGACGCATAGGCCTGTGGCCCAAAATATGGCATCATGCTCCTTCCAGCTAACACTGAAGACAACATGGTGTAGAAGAGGCCAACTAACCCACTCTGTCTCAGGCTGGGAACACCCTCTTTTCCAACTGAGACTTACTACCCTTACTACCTGGACATGCAAAAAACCAAAGCACACCAGGCCTGAACAAACACAAATCCAAAATGATATATTTTTTTACAAAAATTATGCCACTCATTAGCAATGACCCAGAAAATAGAGGTGGCCCTCTGACTCTGGCATATCTCACCACTGAGATTAGTCACTCCTCTGCCTGTACTTAGGACACTAAACCTGTGGGAAGAGAATCTATAAATGTACAATCACTTTCTTCCTCTTTAGCAAGGTCAGCAGAAGTCACCTCTTTGGATCCTGGAAGAGCAGGGAAACAGAGAAACAAGGATCTCACCTTACTACTCTCCACCATTTCTCCAGTCATCCACACCAAGTACTGGAGCATAAATCTAAACTACATCACTTTTCTTGCTTCCTCATCATCCACTGTATTCTATCAGCCACCAAATCCTGAAGTTCTGTCCCGTAGATATTTCTCCATGTACCGTTTCATCTTCATACATCCTACCTTGACCCTAAATCCAGCCCTCATTGTCCTTTGCCAACACTACAGTAATAGTCCCCCCATTCCTCTCTCTGATTTAAGCCTTATCTTGTTTCTTAAACTCTGCACAGAAGCCAGAGTGATCATTCTGAAACTCAGTCATGTCACCCTCTGACAGATTCCCATTCACTACAGAGTAAAGGCCAAGCTCTTTAGAATGACTTACAAAACCCTTCATGGCCTACCTACCTTTGCAAACTCATCTGCCTCTTTCCCTGTCCCATAGGCATCTCAGTAATATTAAAACAGTTATAGTTTCTGATATTCACCATGCAATTGCAAGTTTCCATCGCTTTGCTCATGTGAGTCCTTCTGTCTAAAATACCCTTGACTCTGTCTCATTTGGTTAACCCTGATTAAAACTTGAATATTTTGTTTAAAGTGTTTCTCCTTCAGGAACCCTTCCCTAAACTCAACCCTGGCTCTCCATCCTGCTTCCTCAGGCTGGGGTATCCTCCCCTCTTCTCTATTCCCGTAATACTCTATGAATTGCTCCATCATTATATTTTTCATCCTATGCTGATATTTATATACTTATCTGTTTTCCTTTTGGGCAGGGCCCATATCCCCAATAAGAAGAGGTTACCAGCATTCAGGAAAAGTTTGTGAACCTAAACTGAACTCTTTGCTCTTCCAAATCATGTATTCATTTCTTTATTTTCCATTAATTCGATCATCATTTACTAATGAATTCCATGGGCACAGCCCACTCCACTCACCCACTTTCATTTTGCTGGGTAGTATCCTGATTTCTCAGATATTTTGGGGGCTCTATGAAAATTGTTCACTTTTCCCCTCTCTATACATTCCAGAGCATATCAAAAACATTTGTTAACCACTTTCAAATTGTGATTTGTTTTTGAATTACAGGTTTGAATCATTTTTATATGCTTCTTGTTCTGATGACACAACTGACTGATTACACTTCTCCTTTATGGTATAGGCTGACATAAGTGATGCTATGTGACAGTCTAATACCCTGGAATTGTGAGATTATGCTCCCTCCTTGCTGTCTTCCATCTGCAGGAAATGCAGACCTCGATGGCAGCCATCAGAGTTAAATACATGTTGATAAATAACATTAGTGAAGTAACAGCAGATTATTATTTTACAGCAGGTCTTTGAAGCTACTCAGACTCGGCCTGTCTCTTCCTGATTCAGAAAAGCTTTCAGCCCACTGGCTTTAGCCACTAACGGACACTGATTTTTTAAAATTTGAGTTCATAAAGGGTGAAGTTTTGAAAGCTTTGATGTAAATCCTACAATTTCCAAACAAAATCTCAAAAAAAAATGAAGAAACACAGAGGGTGGGTGGTTGCCAGTCTGTGGAAGTCAAAAGCAGGGCAGGCCAGCTAATCCAGGGGCACTGGGATTGGGAGCTGGGGAACAATGAAAGATGTGGGCTCTCCAGGCCTCTGGTAATAACCATGAGCAGCCAAGAGCAAGTGACAGCGGGAAGAAGCCAGGAAGGACAGGGACATGAAAAGATGATAAACAAAGGCCTGTATTTAGCTCCGACTCTCCTACTACAATGAGCTGACTTCGCAAGGAAAGAGTAAGATTTATATAAACCACCTCATAAAGAGAACTTTAAAATAATAATAAGAAGCTAATCAGTTAATTTTGCACAACCAATACTTAGAGTAATAAATACTCAGCCCTACAACCTCATGGAAATATATTAAGTACAGACGCACTCTATCACCTCTATAAGGAATCAAAATATTTAGCAACCAGGCCAGAATGATCAGCCAATCAGAAGAGACATTGGTTATAGACACCAGTCAGGCCATCCTCGAGCACAAAGCTAAATATAAGCCCTGAATAAACACACAACTGCACAAACAACAGGCATATCTTCCCTCCCCTGCAAAGTTCCACTTTAGAGTCTACTCTGGTTCCTCTCCCAAGCAACAAGAGTGATTAGCGATAAAAATTTGAATGAAAAATCTGAAGTTATTCTTGTGCATATTGGTTTTTGCCTGAAGCTAAAAAAAAAAAAAAAAAAATGACTTAAGAGTTTCTTTTTCCATTTTCAGCATTTTATTTGTCCTCGCTGTTTCTAGGCTCTAAAGGCCAGTGATTTTCCCATTTCCACTGCCCTGCAATCCAAAGCTCCCTCCTCAAAATAGACACCGAGAAATCATGAGCTGTTTCTTGGTCGCAGGCCTTGCAGGAATTCCTGAGCACTGCCTTCCTACTCAAGCTTCTCTTCATCTCACCCAGCATCCAGCACTTCCGCATTTCTTTTCTACCTTCTCCTCCAGACCTGGTTTCAAATCCAATCCTCCATCCCTAATCTTTATACACTATTAATTTTCTTGCAGTTTTGTCCATTAGAAATTCTTTGGAGAATAGTAGCAATTTTAGGGTTTTCTGATGTCCGTGTCATTGAGCTGTAGCTCCCCACTCCATTTTTTGAATGGGAACATTTATTACTAATCTCATGTCAGTCATTCTCTTAAATGATTTGCTTGTATCATGTCACTTAGCCATTAAAATGCATTTAAACATTATTTTCACTTTGCAGGCAACTGGGGATCAGAAAGTCTAAGGAACGGCCGGGCACGGTGGCTCATGCCTGTAATCCCAGCACTTTGGGAGGCCGAGGCGGGTGGATCACGAGGTCAGGAGATCGAGACCATCCTGGCAAACACGGTGAAACCTCGTCTCTATTAAAAAAATACAAAAAATTAGCCGGGCGTGGTGGCGGGCGCCTGTAGTGCCAGCTACTCGGGAGGCTGAGGCGGGAGAATGGCGTGAACCAGGGAGGCAGAGCTTGCAGTGAGCCAAGATCACACCACTGCACTCTAGCCTGGGTGACACAGTGAGACTCCATCTCAAAAAAGAAAGTCTAAGGCACTTCTCATTGATCACACAGCTAATAAGCAGTGAAACCAGTCTGAACTCAGGAGACAGTTGATTTCAATTTCTTGTTTTCTTATCCTACATTGCTGCTCTAAAATAAAAAACAAAAATACTAATAAAACTGTCCAAAGTTATAAGGTCTGGCCTCAATTTGAATGACACTTTTCTAACTCAGTGGAATGTTTTCACATATAAGAATAGCTGGGTCACCACTCTACATCTTCACACTGCTTATCAATCTCAAGCCAACAAAGCCCTAAGCAGCCCTCAGCTTGAGAAAAATGTTAACCAAAATAACTTCTGCCTATCATTACTGAAGAGAAATGAAAGATTAATTTGATATATTCCAAGTATATGTTGCCATTTATTTGAATCAATGCTCCATTAGGTATTCCAAAATTATTTAAAAATCAATAATGATCAGCTTTGGGTTAAATGGTAAAGTTAACAAACCCAAAGCATTATTTTGAGGGTTGAGGGGATTGGTTTCTTTCTTTAGAATTAGATAGAACAAAAATTAATTTACAGTTAGACATTGGCCCCAGAGTAAAGAAGGAGGGCTTATTTCTGCTCAGGACTGGTACATGTACAGGCGTGCATGTGCTTGTGAGTGTGTGTGCATGCATGTGTGTACTTGTGTGGGAGGTAGTGGACACACAGTGAGGTCCAGCTGCATTGAGGCAGGTTTGGAGGGCCCTAGGAAAGCATGGACAGAAACTGACCTGCTCTCTAGGGGCATGCTGATTAACTAAACTTTATGTAAGATCATATTGTTTTCAACCTCAGAAATATTTACCAGAAAATCAGAGACCATGACCTCCTGGACAAAAGGAAAACAGTCACAGCACTGAAGGCAGGAGAGGACCGAGCCATTCTCCTGGGACTGGCCATGATGGTGTGCTCCATCATGATGTACTTTCTGCTGGGAATCACACTCCTGCGCTCATACATGCAAAGGTAATACCACTGGGAGGGTGCAACCCTGCTGTTTGTCTCCTCCTCCATCCTCCCCCATCACTTAGGCAACCCTAAGGTCATCTTCCTCGCCTTCTTTCCTGATAAGAATTTTGAGAAGTTCCTGGTAAACAATACTTTTCAATAATGTTATCTAATAATAATAATAAATATAGCTCTATGTATAACATGGATACCAGGCGTCAAAGACTTGTACTTGTTTAATTATCACAATTACTCTATAAGGTTAAGTATAAATATACTCATTATAAAAATGGCAAAACTGAGGCTCAAGAGAAATATGATTTCCTCAGTGTCTTACAGCTCTTACTTGTGGCAGAGCTAAGATTCAAGCCCACATCTCGCTTAGAATAGTTCCAAAGTCCCTATTCTTGCCACTTCACACTTCTGTCCGTTCCCCATCCTCCTCCCTTTTCCACCCCAACCAACCCCTCCATCACCTTCCACGTGAGTGGTTCTCAACTGCATATTCCAACTTCCCCAGAAACTCTAAAAATGACAATACCCAGCCCCCATCATCGTCACCCCAGAAGGTCAGATTTAATTGGTCTGGAGTGGGACCCAGTCACCAGTATCTGTTAAAGCTCCCCAGGTGATTCTAATGGGACTTCTAGGCTGAGAAACACTGCTATGCATCTACTTTTAAAAATAACAGATTTTGAATCTTTTCATTTCAATATTTGCCGTAGGTTTACTGAATGGATAGGGAGGCAAATAAATTGTGAGACAGCAAGTGTACTCTCGCCCTCGGTAAGCCACGTGGTAAATCCCACCATCATCTCTAGCTGTTGTCCATAAATTGGACACTCTAAACACAGGCGAGCCCAGCCTTGATGTATCGAATGGGGGGAAGTCTCACAGCAGTTCAGCTTAAAGAAACAAGACCTTTTCTAATGAAAAATTGAGGTTTCAATCCAAAAGAAAATGAAACAATTTTGTGGCATTTGTTTCTCCATCTAAATTAATACTTTCATTTTAGAAGCAAAATCTAGCTGAAATACAGTAATTTGCTGAAATTAAGGCATCATCTTTCACATTTGTGGCTGCTCTGCTCTGTTTCTCTGATGGCCTTCAGCTGTGCTCATTTTCAATGAAAGTGCTGATGCCTCAGGCCCCAAGTGGTCGCTGATTCCAAAATGCTTTCAGATCTTCACATCTGCTTAGAACCATCAAAGATTTTTTCCTCAGTATATAAGCAAAATGTGACCACCCATGTTCCAGGAAAACACAATTTGCCACACCGAGGGAGGGGATCAGTTCTAGTATCCTGCTTCTGGAATAAAACTTCACACATGCGAAGGGGCAGGATGCTGTGGATGCCTGTCTAGCAAAAGGAAAGGGTATCAATCTGCAAAGAAAACACGTTTCTCATTGCTGTGGTGATCAGCTTATATCCAAAACCAAACCATTGATTGCTAGTGTGTTAATTCCTAATTACAAATGTTAATCTTGATCATAAAATTAAAGGTATATTAAAATGACAAGTTGACAAATGGGCAGCTGGATTCTTCCAGGTGAGACGTAACAGGACACCCTTATTCATCCATTAGTCTGCATAAAAGAGTTTCTTTTCCATTGTGTTTGTGGGGAGACAGCACAACACAATAGAATGAGCCTGCGCCTTAGAGAATTACAAGATTGGGTGGGATCACAGTTTCCATCACTTACTGCCTATATGTCCTTGCATATGTCATGGGATTTCTCAGTTCACTCACTTTTAAAAAGAAATTGCTTCCCAACTTGCACAGTTGTTGAGAGAACAAAAGAAGGTATTATATATGAAGTACCAATTAGGGTGAAAGGAATGTGCAGCAAGTGACTGCTCATGATATAACGAAAGGGTTGAGTTATCCTTTTTCCCTTATTAGAAAGACCATAAGGCATTCTGTCACTGTCGTTCCATCTGTCAAGCTGGACCACACAACCCTCCACTCCTTTGTCATCTCCCCGCTCCTTCTCCCTCACACCTTCTGTGCCTGCAAACGGGGCAGGGAAGGGATCTGGGATGCAGAAAGTACAAAGTAAAACATACAGAGGTAGGGGCTGGAGCATGTCAAGAAGCTGCCTGCAATGTGTAAATACAGGGTGAGGACAGGTGATGATTTTAAAGCATGCTTCATGTTACCAGGGAGTTCAATAAGGGAAAAAAGAACTTAAGTCAAATACCAGAGAATACCATATAAAATGGAAGTCACTGAAAACGTTCTCGCGTGTCCAAGTTTGTCTATGCTATATGGTAGTTTGCTTAAAGCTGTTCTATACGAAGGCCTAAACTTTACACAGATAGATCATATTAGAGATTTAGAAAAGATTTTTCAGCTTCAGGAGCTGAGAAATAATTCCCTCAGATGATGCCTTTCTCACTATTAGCTCTTGGGCCTGTGTTTACTCTCACCCCTTTCTCTGTAGCGTGTGGACTGAAGAGTCTCAATGCACCTTGCTGAATGCATCCATCACGGAAACATTTAATTGCTCCTTCAGCTGCGGTCCAGACTGCTGGAAACTCTCTCAGTACCCCTGCCTCCAGGTGTACGTTAACCTGACTTCTTCCGGGGAAAAGCTCCTCCTCTACCACACAGAAGAGACAATAAAAATCAATCAGAAGGTAGGAACTTGGCGCGCTGCATTTCAGTTACCCCACAGAGCTTCACACCAGGCTCTCTGCCTCTGAAGTTCCCCTTTGCCAGCATTTCAAAGGAAAATACTTTCAGGAAGCAGAGCCTGCCTCTTCCATTCAGAGAACTTGCTATGTGACTCTTGCCTAGAAAATATTTATTTTCTGTGCAAGTTGTGGGCAAATCATTCCTACATTTGTGGTAGTGCAGATTTGGCTTTCACTTCCATTTGAAAGGGTAAATATTAACATATCTTTACACAAATAGACTGAGTCTTTCAAAGCAACTATGCAGCTTAGAGATGTACAAGACAAAACCATGTGTTTATCCTGTACCTGGGAACCACCAGCTAAAGGTGTGTTCTGTTGGTCCATGGTCATTGTCATTTAGTTCTGTGACCTCAGGGATATAACTTAACGTTTCTGATCCTCAGCTTCCTTTTCTCTAAAAAGCAACAAATGGACACCTTGCAAGGTCCTTATGAAGATGAGACCTCAGCATATACAATGTTGAGCAGAGCATGCTACTTTCGACCCATGGTCACTGTGTGTGTGTGTGTGTGTGTGTGTGTGTTCTTCTTCACATATGTCATATTCATAGAGGCTGAATTTTCCAGCACTAATATATTCAAGTCCACGTGGTAGATATTCAACAAATGTGTATTTTATTAAAGTTTTACATAAAATTTACATTTATAAGGTCTGGAATGACCAGGAAGGTGTCAGCAGACCAACTTGCCATTACAATTTTAAGTTAAATATATTGAGTGTTGGATTTGTGGTAACAATTAGATATGCAGAATAATCTCATATGCGAAGACAACTCAATGCCACTCTTGGCTCTTATTACCAGGATAAACCCTTCTGACCTCTAATCTTTCTTGTAAAAGCTTTTCTTTTCATTACATTGTCAGCATTTAAATGATATAGCTTACGGTTATTGAAAAAATGCAGTAGATTCAAAGTTCAATACTAGCACATAGAGAGTGAATAGGATTTGTTTCTGATATATCGACACAAAGTAAGGAAAACAACCTTGAACTTTTGTTGCAATAACTTAAAAGAATTCTTGCAAATATCTCTGAGGACTCAACATAATAAATATTTCAGAGAATGTTGTTTGAAAATGCTGGCTCTGATTTTCTTTCATTTGTAGTAGCCACAAATAATACCAGTCCCAGTGCTGTGCTGCAATATGTAAAGCCTAGCTCTCTCACAAAGTGTTTGTCTTTCATGATCTTCGCTTAAGTCAGATTTTAAAATCAAAGCTGACCGGTAATGATGAATGCCTATAAAACTCTTAAACCTGAATAGGCATCAAAAAATGGGACATATTTTCATTTCCTCATTTTGACAATTTATCACTACAGCCCTGTGAATGCATTATTTAGGCTATAAACAGAGAGGGAAGCTACCAATAAACTGTCCCAGTTATGTATTCAGGACTGGTATCTTACTTGCTCTCAGCATAACACTAGGTCATCATTTGGTTTATTGGTCCCACTATCTTGTTTTTTCAAGTAAATTATAACATAGAGAACTGTGCATGAAATGAAAAAGTACAGCTCAAGTATTACAAACAGATTCATGACCACCATGTAACCACCTTAAGGTTCAAGAAATACAACATTTTCTGTACCCCAAAAACACCCTACATGCCCCCTCTCAATAACTACAGGCTCTGCGTCCACCAAAGACAACAACTATCCTGACTGTTTATGGCAATTACTTTCTTACTTTTCTTTGTACTTTTATCACCTAAGGATATATCCTTAAACACTAAATATTCTATTAATAGTTTTGCCTCATTTTTAAACATTATATAAATGGAATCACATAGAATACTTTCTGTCTGTTTTTCTTCACATAGCATTATGTTTGTTAGATTTATTCTATTTGGTTACAGTTCATTCATTTTCATTACTGTATCATATTCCATTGTATGAATATGTCTGTTTATTCATTCTACTGCTGATGGACATTTTGAGTTGTCTACAGTTTGGGACTATTACAAGTAATTCTACCATGAATATTCTCATATATGTCTCTGGTGCACAAGCACACACACTTCCATCAGTTATAAACCTGAGAATGGAATATTTAAATCATAGAGTATACATATCTTAAAATTAAGTAGATAATGCCAAGTAGTTTTCCAAAATGTATATGCCAATATACATTCTCACCAACCCTGTGGGTATGAGAGTTCTTACTGCTCCAAATCTTTACCAACACTTGGTAACATCTGTAATTTTGATTTAGCTAATGTATATTTCCTCACGATTCTAATAGCTAATGTTATCAAGTGCCTTTTCATTTATTCATTGGCCATTTGGATATCCTTTTTGTGCAATGTCCATGCAAGTTGCTTGCCCATTTTTTTATGGAATTGTTTCTTCTTTACGTTCAATACAGGAATCATTTAAACATGAACCTCTGTTGGTTATACGTGTTGCAAATATATTCTCCCATTATGTGGCCTTTTCACTCTCTGAATGTCTTTCAATGAAAGAAACTTCTAATTTCAGTGCAGCCAGATTTTGTCAATCTTTTTCTTTCTGTTCAGTGCTTTTGCTGTTCTGTTTAAGTCTTATACCCACCCTAATATCATAAAGTCATTCTCCTAAATGACATTCTAAGTATATTATTGTTTTCCCTTTCATGTATACAGTAAAATCTGACTGGAATTAATTTTTACGTAGGGATCAACTTTCTTTTTTGTTTGTTTGTTTTTTCATATGGACACCGACGTGCTCCAGTCCATTTTTGAAGAGACCACACTTTTCCTCACTGAATTATTTTTATAATCTCATTTCTTCCTCCATTTTATCAGAAGTTATCTATTCTGTCACTATTCTTTTTAAAGTCAAAAAATAACAGATGCTGGCGAGGTTGCAAAGAAAAGGGAATGCCTATCCACTGCTGGTGGGAACATAAACTGGTTCAGCCATTGTGGAAAGTAGTTTGGTGATTGCTCAGAGAACACAAAGCAGAGCTACCATTCGTCCCAGCAATCCCAGTATTGGGTATATACCCAGAAGAATACAAATTATTCTCCCACAAAGACACATGTACATATATGTTTATGGCAGCACTTCTCACAATAGCAAAGATGTGGAATCAACCTAAATAAATGCCCATCAACAGTGGAAAGGATTTTTTGCTTCTTTCTGGATACATCCTATCTTCTAATTCAGCAATTCTTTACTCTGCAAATCAACTGTTAAACCCATCCATTGAGTACTTAATTTCTCTTACGGTATTTTAAATTCTAGAATATCCAACTGAGTCTTGTTTTATCATGTCCAGTTCTCTGCAATATTTTAATTATTGTCTTTTAAATCCTTCAACATAAAAAGTAAAATTATAGTTGTTATAAAATCTATTTTGATATCATCGCTATTTGAAGCCCCTATGTACCTGTTCTGTTTTTGTTTTCTCTTGTTTGTTTTCATGCTGTCTTGTAATATCTGACTATTTTTATTAGGTTTCAGATATTATATTTGTAAAATTTTTATAAAAAATAACTTTAATCCTAGGATAATGTTATAATGTCATCATTTCCAAAAATTATTTCCATTTGCTTCACCAGCCACAAGCCATTCAGCATCACCTCATTCTAACTTCATAAATTGTGATACTCAAATCAGAACTGAAGTCCCTATGAGGACCTATCTATTTCAGGCTGACTATTCTCCCAGGATGCAACCCTTCAGAATCCCAACCCAAAGTGAATAGGGGAATTATCAAGACCCCAGCTTGATAGGCCCCCAATAATAATTCCTGCTCATAGCTCTGCAAGGCTGTCAAAAATGCCAGTTAATCTCCTAGGCTCTCACCCCCTCTTCTACAATCAGCAAATGCTCCCAGGGAAAAAGGCAGCAAACATTTGGCTCACTTTCCTGGCCCAGTGATTCTTCACTTTCTGGAAAGCTACCCTCTGCTTTTAATCTGAAATATACGCACTGAAAATACACAATTATCTCTATGTCAAAAGGTCATTAAACTGTCTTCATGCAAAATGAGGAATATTCAAGATAATTATGGCAAAAACATAAAAAAATTTTCAATGTCAGCTCTCTTTCCTGTTATCCTTCCCAGGCTCACCAAAATTAATGGTCTCCCTCACAGTTACCAACAAATAGGCATGGTTATATTGAGATACATCAGGCGCTGTTGATAATAACTGTCCTAAGACAATAGGAGGTGAAAGGATATTAGTCAATCTGTCTGCATCTTGGTAGAAAGCATTTTATTTTTACATTTTTACCCTCTCTCATATAGTTTTTCTTTAGCCTTTAAACCCAGTGACCAACCTCTTGTCAACATTATGACCGAAGCTGCTTAAGCTGATAAACTGTCATGCTCTCCTAGAGCCACTGGCTGACTAATGGGCCCTGGGAGCTACAAGAAGGCTCAAGGGTCCCTGCCTCCCTTGGCTACAAGGCTGTCACTAGCATCATAAAAAACAGCAGCTGAGTATTAATTCACTATGGTTGTTGCTTGTGAATTCCTCAATGCCAATCTCCTTCAGGATTTTAAAACCTCTTTTCCTCACCAGGAATTCCCAAAACATGCCCCTATGGTTTGAGGATAGATTTAAAATGTAGTTTGGTGCAAAAAAAAGGAAACTATACCCATTTTTTTTGGTATATGGCATAATACTATATATCTGGTCTGATGATGTAGAAAAATCCCAATTCAGTTTCTCCTACTATACTCTCACAACACACTGCCAAATCCAGGTGTGGGGGGGCTTTTCCCCACACATACTGAAGGTGAGTTCAGAATAATAAAATAATTTTCCCAGAGTTACACATTCACTAACTAATTATGTCTGAATTAAAATCTAAGTCTTTTTACTTCATCATCCTTGCTCTTAAAGAGTAAAACATTAGAGCATCCCCTTGAGAGAGTAAAGACAAGAGTTCTGAAAAATCCAAATTCTGTGAACTATTTATCCTTCTGATAGATATTTTGGTGAACAGGTG